GGGGTGCGTTGTCCACACAGAATAAGAACTCCTTCGTGGAGCTACTCCGACAGAAAAAAAAAGCAAAACTCCACGATGCTACCCTCCGCACAAGCTATCCACTCCGACACCTCCTTCCTTTGTATAGCAACAGTGTACGTGAGCTTCTTCTCTTTCGTTCAATCTCTCCTCCTTCAACATCGAAGTCGCGAGCCGCTCCTTCCTCCTTTTTTAGTGTCGATCGGCTCTTCTTGTAAGTCGTTAGGGTTGCTTCTACATCTCGATCTCCCTTTGACTCGCATCAATTTATAAGCGAACTTACCTCTACGGTTTCCCAAGCTTAAAGCTTCTTCTTGCCCCTCTTCGACTTCCCAAACTTCTCAATTCCTCTTCTTTGGCACTTTGATTGCCTGACTCTGGTCCCATTAGCCCATAGTATAAACACACAAATTATTCTCGAAGTGTTACTGAGAAAATGCTCGTGTGTGTGAAGCAATAGTTATGTTGATATGAAAGTGAATAAACAATAATTACTGGTATGATTTTATGAGTGTATCTCCTAGTTAAAATTAGCACAAGGGCTAGTGAATTACTGTCACAATTTACATGAGCAATCACACGAGTGTTCAATGGCATATTGGAAGAGTAGCAAGCTGTATGCACAAGTTACTTCTAAGTACAGTGCTCCAATTATGAATACTTAAATCATCAAATTCCAAGAAACAGGCTATATTATAATTTCTGCACATGATGATAATGGTGATTAGAAAGGTTTATGATGCTAAGTGAGAGTGGAAATACTTAATCAAAAGTAAGTAGATCTATTACTATAGTACATAAGGTTTTGGTTATGAAATCACTCAAAGAATAATTAAACAGGGACGGTACACTTGTTTATATAATGGTGATAGAAGGTTATGTGTATAACGATGTTTGGTGAAAATATGAAGAATATTGAATCACTAAAACGTGAAATCATCAAAACAACAAATTATCACTTAAATAAACAAGCAATGTACATCTAGCTATATGTAAAATGACAATAATTTTTATGTAGTTCGATACCCAACCGTTTTATATCTATTCTTAAGCTTCCCCTAACTTCGGTTTCCACTTACTGCATTCTTGTTGTTGGGAGTTCCTTTTATTAATGACAGATTAGTCTCACATCTCTTATATTCTTCTGCACTAGGCAGATACAACTACAACATGCTCCTTTTCACTCGGCAAACACAATCTAAACTAAATAAAACATTTAAGGCATTTAAAAAAAAGATCCCAGGCTTTAGCAAGGTACAAGGATAACACAATATAATACAAAACTGCACAATATCTACTTTTCAATCGCACAAGATACAAAGAACACTCAATATAAAATATGCTAAGCAGATTACTAAAAGGATGGAAACAAGGAGTCTATATTGATGAACGCTTTATTTTCTTTAATTAAATTTTCACCTTAAAATGATATAACATTATGACCTTAAAGCCCTTTTAACATTGCATTTTCTTGTTATTTTTCATCTCATTTTATATCTATAACCATAAAAAACCTAAAAAAAAACTCAAGTGAATGCATTAAAAAGTCATCTAAGATTTACTCTGATGTAGGGCAATTGCACTAATGTATGATGAATGCAAACTATATATGAATGAGGAATTATGAAATATAACAATGATGATTCATTAGATTCTGTAATCAAACTATATTTAATACCCAAGTACTATTGACTTTATGATCACGAGCTGGACTAGAGAAGCTTGATGTTAGCTTCAGTTACGTTAATCAATCATTATCCTAGTTCTAAAGAAAAGTAAGAAAGATGATAACTTTGATATTTGTCTAACATTATGGGGAATTTAACTCAATTGGTAGCTAAGTCAGGGATAATTGTCGTCGTTCCCTACATATTGCTCTTCTTTGCTACAATCTCTTTAAGTACTTCTCAAAGGGCTGTGAAGTCACACACTCAAGTGATCATTCATTTGGACATTGAAAACACATAGGAAGAGAGCATAGAACTCAAAATAGCAATTTACTTTAACCATTCAACATCCATCACATGAAGAGTATATGCAAACCATAGCATAATTAGCTAATAACAACCATTCAACATCCATCACATGAAGAGTATAGAGTATATGCAAACCATAGCATAATTAGCTAATAACAAGGGGGCGTGGATGGAGATTGAGCTGACCATGCATAAAAAGTTTGACAATTAACGGAGAGGACATTTTGAACAGTTGATGTTGATTTTCTTAGGGGCCGTTTAGGATCACATTTGTTTTTACTTTATTTTTTATTTGGAAGAAAGCATGTTTAGATATTTGATTAGAATATGATTATTTTGACATTCAAAACACCTAAAAATTATTTTGAGTTTTTTCAGAAACATTTTAATTTGGTTTTAGAAACAAAAAATAAAAATAAATAAAACATATATTAAATAAAAATTTTTAAAAACAAAAGGAAAAAATAAAAACAAAAATAAAAAAACTATAAAAACGAAAATAAAAAAAATTAAATTATCCCAACCCTTAAGTTTTAAAATGGTTCTGTGCTGGATGTTGACATGGCAAGTCAAAAATGAGTGGACAAATCCAGTTCTTGACGTTGAGGACAATTTAGGTGATGGTGGTCAATGGATTGTCAAAAGGTTAAAATGAGACAATCGGGCTAAGCTCATGCATGGGATGGCTAGGCTATCTCAATGCCAATTTTCATATAACAAAATATAGGTTACATAATACACAATATGGCCCAAAACTGAAAGTCCTACCCAACAAAGAAATGAGAACACAAAAGAATAAAAGTACAATTATATCTGTTTTAGTTAGTAAGATCTAGAATAATGAAATATTAGACTAACTCCAAATTGTATCTTGCATCACTACCTGAAAATTTCACCCCAATGATCTTAAAACCTAGCTATCATAAGCTATCTTTTACTTCTGCGGAGCCCCCTTTGTATCCTTCATGATTCATCACATTATTCTTGATTTGTGGGGCAAGCCGCAGAACAATAATTGCTTAAATAAATAGTTCTTAGTTTTAAAATAAATAAATTAAATTATTACGTAAGCACATGAAATCAAATATCAAATCTCATTTAAGCAATTTAATGAATCTAATTTAATATGAATTAACCCACTAACTAATTGATTAGGATATAATTAGTTAATAATTTCTAATACTTACTATAAATATGCATAAGTCGTAATTAATGAAAATATATGAAACTATAGATTATATAAATTATCTAAAATATGAACGATCAAATACACAAAAAGACGTACTTTGAGCACAACATCACTAGTATAATTAAGTATTTGAATTTAATCATTTAATCCATAATAAAACAAACAAATTGAAAGTTGAGCAAAATAATTGCTGAAATTTTTTTAAAAATATGAAATAATTTTAGTGTCAACAGCAATAACGAGCCTTTATCCCACTAATGAGGGTTGGCTACATGAATCCTTTTTCTCCATTCTGTCCTATTGATTGTCATATTTTCATTTAAATGAAATAAATTTAGAGTTATTGAAACATAATTTCGAGCTAAAATCAAATTCTTTTATTTATTTTTTTCATTATCCTTGAAGCATTGGTAACTTTTGATCAATTTTGAATTAAGAACACTTAGAATCACACGATAGATTTGTAGTCTTTGTCTTCTTTTTTCATCCTTGAGCTTGTTCGTTTCATCAATTTGAGCTTATTACCAAACTGCAATTACATCAAAACTAGCCCAGTGGAATCGATCATCATCTTTGTGGTTGTTACTTACTTGAATGATCAATTGAAATTATGATGTTATTGTACTTTACTTTTATAGTAGATTTGAAGGCAATTATGAAGTTTACTCATGGACTTGTAAGCTTATTTTTTATACTATTGTCATATGGGTTTGTGTTATTCTTTAGCCTTATCCCAACTATGTTGGTAGGCTTATGGGATCCTCAGTTTTCATTTCTTGTTTAGTTCTTCCTGAGGTGTTGACCTTATTCTTCAGAAAACATTTGAACAACTCTATCCATGATCTCTTAGTTCTATCATTTTTCTTTCCTGAAATTTCCAAGTCTGTTTTATTTCAATTATGTAGGTTTTATTGGTATTGTTGCTGTCATGCCATTCTTATGGTCAGCTTCTAAAGAATGGGGGTGGTGTTGGCCATTTTTCCTCTTAGGAAATAAGGAGGATTATTTTTCTAATAGCTTGTTGTCCCAATGCAATAATCACATCACTTTAATGTACCATGCAAGTGGGATTTGTTTAGTATTATATCAGAGTTTTCTAATGTTTTGTTGACATGTCATTTTCGATTAAAATTGGTTGTTCTAAATATTTTTCCTATTGAAGGTTATTGCATAGATCTTCTCCATTGATTTGATTTTTTCTAGTTTATACTTTATCTGTATTCACATTTTAGTAAATTTTTTTTTTTCAGTTTTCCAGTTATATTTTCATAACTGTCATGATTACCAGATTTTCTTGAGTTTATTTTGGAGGAATTACTATATATTACTCAAGAAATTGTGGTTGAGACGCTTAGTAAGAACTGAACCTGTCATCACATTTTTCTTTTGAGATCTTCCATCCCCTAGTATGAGAAATTTGTTCCTTCATAGATGGATGTCTTTAAGTTCTTTTATATACTCTTTTGTTTAAAAAAATTCTGTTACGACAGGAAGATGGTCTTCATGATACAGAAAAAATTGCTGCATTTGATTTTGATGGATGTCTTGCTAATACGTCTGTGAAAAGGTATGATTTTCTCACAATAGCACAATATATTTATCACGAATTTCTTATTGTAGTTAATACTTCAATTGTAGAATGTGCTCTGTGATGTTTGTGTGGGTTGTGGTTTTGTGGGGGGTGTTAAGCCCTTAATTGCCACTTATTAAAACGTATCTAATTAGTCACATGTTATGAAGTTCTTTTTCTTTAGGACAAGCATCCATGGTCTGCATATAGATGTATTTTTCTATATGCCATTTTCCATAACTTATTTTTCATTGTTCGTTTGGTCACTTGGCCAAAACTCATTTTGTATATTTGATTTTTGGCCTTTCTTATGATCTGCTTTTGTTCAATAAATTATCAGTACAAGATATAACTGTTCATTAAATTATTACTTTTTACATTAATAACACCCATATTGTTCACATCACATCACAAATAGCACCATTTTAACTTCTGAGAAGTGAAATACATCTTTTCCTGCATAGGTAAGATGGCTTGTGTGTAAAAATTGAAGTTTAGGAGTTAGATATGTAAATACCTAGGAATTGATTGGTATGTATGCGAATCTTCCTGTCTTTTTCGTGCAGGTAACATTGTTATTGTTGTAATAATCAATTCGGTCTACTTTTTTTCTTTAAACAATACGTAGGCCTATTTAAGGACCCATATATAACCGTTGTGGCTCTTACCAGCTATGAGTGACAGTTGTTTGATTGTTGCAACGTACGACTTGAACTTCTTGTGCAGCATGCTCTCAACCTCACTCTCCCACTGTGCTGCTGTAGACAATTTCGACTTAATAAATAATGTTACTTACCCTAGTTTGGAGGGTAAATATAAAAAACTGATTTAAATCATGTCCATGCCAAAATTTCCTAATGCAAGCTAATGAAATTTGATGAGACACAATGTAAAGCAAATTAATGAAATAAAATTTTTATAAATTTTTAAATTGGAATGCAAGGAAATAAAATGCTAAAAAAAGCACAACTAAGCATGTAAAATTTATTATGGAATCAAGCTATTTAACACTTTTTTTTTAAACGACAGATGACAATAGAGAAAAAGTTAAAGTATGTGAACTGATAGATCTCTCATATCTAAATTATGCCGCAAAATCTGAGCTCATATAAAGCACTAGAGGTTTTAATTCATGATTATGTTCAAAATCCAGTTATGTGGATGCTTAGTAGTAGTAGATTTAAAGCTGAATATTTGGAATGTAATTTTAATAGTAGTAGATCTAATGACATAGTTGTAACAATGTGTGATCAAATCATTAAAAGGTGTGAATGTTTTAGATATTTCAGGTCTATTGTTCAAAGCGATGGTGATATATTTGGGGATGCTATTAGTAGAATTCAAATTGGATGGCTGAAGTGGAGGAATGTTTGGGCCACGGGGCTATTGCGTGATAGAAAAGTACCCCTTAGACTTCAAGGAAAATTTTTATAAGATGGTGGTGAGACTTGCAATGTTTTATGGCATAGAATGTTGGCCTTTAAAAGAGAAACAGAACACATAAGTTTTTCTGAAATGAGAATGCTTAGGTGGATGAGTGGCTTGACAAGTGGAGACAAAATGCGAAATGAATGTATCCGTGCAAGTGTTAGTTTAGCTTCAGTCGCAAACATGATTAGAGAGAGTCGTCTTAGATGCTTTGGTCACCTAAATGATTTGGTCACCTTAAACATTAACCATCTGATGATTTCGTTAGGAGAGTATATGCTTTAGATTCGACTTATGTTAGGAGAGGTAGAGGTAGACCTAAACAAGACTTGGGCATGTTGTTTAAAAATGATCTTATTTTATTAGATTTAAATAAAAATATGACACTCAATACTAGATTTAAATGAAAATATGACATTCAATAAGACACAATGAAGAAAAAGAATTCATGTAAACTCCAGTGGGATAAAATCTTGTTATTGTTGTTCAAAGAAAAGTTAATTAAGAACATTCAAACATTGATGTAATACAAAATAATATATTCTTACTTTTCAAAAAAGCTGAATATGTGCTAATAAAAATGAAAATTGTATAGGATCTGAATCAAAATTCTAAAATGGTTTCATTGCCCTTTTTTAAGATTTGTACTTGGAACATGATTAGAGAGAGTCGTCTTAGATGATTTGGTCACATTAAACATTAACCATCTAATGATTCGGTTAGGAGAGTAGATGCTTTAGATTCGACTTATGTTAGGAGAGGTAGAGGTAGACCTAAAAAAGACTTGGGCATGTTGTATAAAAATGATCTTATTTTATTAGATTTAAATATTGCCCTTTTTTAAGATTTGTACTTGGAACATGAGGACCTCACATCAACTAATAATTTTGCATTGCCAAAGATCATTGCAAAGTTTTTTTTTCTCAAATATTTACAATATGACCTGAAACAATAGAAAACAAACAAAGAAAATACACAATTCTTAGAGATGAGGTCAGCTTTTGGAGCCTTCAATCGGCTAGATCTGAAGATATGATCTATTGGAAAGTAATTGATTTTGAACTATTCGTTTGATATTAGGTACCAGATAATTTGAAGATAGAGAGACTTAGAGGTAGAAATGTAAAATGTGAAATTTATTGAGGTACTTTTGTTAGAGGACTCAGGTACATTAGATCAATCATATCTTACAACTCAAAATTAAAGATATATTTCTCGTCACAAAGTATATAAATTATTTATATACTATATGATTGTCATAATATAAGGTATGATCCATTAGCCATTACATGTGCGTCGGCTGTTAAATTGGGAAAGAGACATTTGATATAATATAATATATATAGTTTTGAAATGTAATTGTTTAATTTTAAAAAATACGAGACCGAACCGATCTCATATATTTAATTGTTTAAATGATCGAACACAACACCACAAATAACACGTCTATCCCGAGGAATATGCGCGTTACTTGATAGTGAGACTCGATTAAATAAACTACAGAATTTATGACATCTGTCTGGTCTGCAAACCATTTATTTCGACCGACAAGTTCCCCTACCTAATATTAAAAATTAGATAGGGTTTATATTACCTGAGTTTTTAAAGCTCCCTATAGAGACAAATCCTTATAGTTAATTACCTCTCAAATGACTGAAGTCACTTAAGAGAACTCTTGATGATGATCAGAAGTATTTATCTTCATGAATTCAAAGTTCAAGGTTTTCAAGATTGGGCATAGAAGAGTCAAATGGGAAAATGACCAAATATTCACATTTATTTCTGTAGTCAAAAGAAAGAAAAGTAGGAGATGTCACGGATTCTGAGGAGAACCTCAGTGACTTCCCAAACTATCCTATTATTTGACTTCAATTTCGACAAGATGTTATATGATGTTTCATCGTGCCAATTTTATTATTTAGGAATTATATTTACATGATACAATCATACAAATGACCTATAAGATATGAGGGTTTGCATCGTATCGGACGACAACCTCAAAACTTGAATCGAGTTAGGGCTTACATTGCACAACTTGGTTGTGTGAAGGCCTAAATGATAAAATGAGGATTTATGTCGCGCTAGACAGACTACCTCGAAGTCTTATGACTAATTGTTTAATTCTAAGGAAATGTTTGCTATTGTAGATCTGTTGAAGTTATTCTTCTGTACATCCTCGTCGTGCTGCCCACGGTGTTGGTTCCAAGCTCCACGTCATAGCAATTTCATGTTTAGTTTATGCTTAAATGTACATGCAATTGTTGAGTCGGTGATCTGCTACTTGGTACCTCTTATAAAACCATCATATTAGCCTCCTATTCTAAGGGTATAATGCGTAAAAAGAAACCGTAACAGGTGCAGTAAAAGAAAGGCAGTAGTAGAGAAAATGCAGTAAATGTACAATAAAAAACATTAAAGTACGCAAGTAAAGAAAGTAAAACAATATAAACATTAAAGTACGAAAGTAAAGAAAGTAAAACAATATAAATGTAAAACAAACATGTATACCTGAAGAGGCTTCTGCTCCTGTAAATGTCGTCGATGTCATAGGTACAAGTATAGTAAAAGACTTTAAGAGACGTGCAAACATGACATTTATATAAGTAAACATGAGCAGCAAAAAGAAACACCACCTGGAAAGACTCGAGAAAAGCGACAAATGACCCATGGTAACTTGAAGAAAGTCATCGAAAACACGAGCAAAATCTGAAGAAATACTATGAGTGTTTTACAAAATTTCAATAAAACCGTAAGCAACACAAGAAGAATTTAAAAAAGGAGAGAAAATCGTAAGCACTAGGGATGGGATGAACTCAGAATTAGGACCTTGGGTCAAAGTCAAGACCCTGGGGCCCTAACAAAATAATCAACACTATATGTGTGATCAAACACTAAGTAAAAGGTCGCCGAACTAACAGTCACAGAAAATGGTAATTTCTAACCTAGTTCATATGACCGACCCGTGAAATTTTCAGAAAATATTCAGTAAGGATTTCATTTTTTAAAAGAATTTTTAACTTGTCATGCACTTTGAAATTTTTTTTTTAGTTGATTATGTGTGTACATATATTTATCACTTAAAGAAATTTTTATACTTTAGAAAGTTAATGGGTCAGTCATATTGGTAAGCTGAAACTTCCCATTGTCTGTAAAAGAAATGTGTAACTATTTACTAAGTATTAGAGGTGTAGTAGCGTCAATCCCTCATTCTCTAAAGGTCACTGAGTCAGGATTGTGGTAGAACTTCTAACGCATACCTAGATGCCTTTTACATCAGTCTCTGAACCCCGAAACCGACCTACTTACAACCTTGCTTGATGGTTCATATATAGCAAAATGTTATATATGTGCGCTTATGTTTCGGACATAAGCACCTAAACCAAACCAAGAAGCACGAAAAGAAAAAAAGAAAAATGGGTTGAGAGAGATGAGAGATTAATCCACCTGAAAAATCAAAGAAGTGAAGGGTGGATCAGCCCTCAAAACTGCGTTTAAAACGATTTACAACCTCCAACAACATGAATTTGAGAAAACTCAATTGGAACTTCAAATGTTCTCACACGACAAAG